CAGTAGGGACAGCAGCAGTAGCAGCAGCAGCAGCAGAAGCAGGAGGAAAAGTAGCAGCAGCAGCAGCAGCAGCAGCAGCAGCAGTAGAAGTAGCAGGAGGAGGAGGAGGAGGAGGCACAGTATTGGTCGCAGCCGGAGTAGCAGCAGCAGCAGTCGGAGGAGGAGGAGGAAGAGAGGCAGAGGAAGTCGATTGCCTCCTCGCCGCGAAGGGAAGAGGCATGGTAGGGTTTGCTCTCCGAAGGGGTACGAGGACAGAGGGCGAGACAGGGAGAGGACTTGGGAGAGGACGAGCAAGAGGTCATTGAAGGAGGGGAGACGAAGCCGGAGCGTGGATGGAGGAAGAGGGGTGTCAAAGTACGGGAGGGCAGAGAAGAGAAAGGACCACAGCCGGAGTCGGAGCAGAGAGAGGACTGAGAGGCAAGATAGAGGACATCGAAGGGAGGGAAGGGAGCGAAGTAGTCGAGGGAGGTATGGAGGCCGGAGCCGGAGTCATAGCCTGGAGAGGGCTGAGAGGAGGAGAGGACGAGGGAGGGAACGAGGGCGGGATGGAGGGCGGGAGGAGGAAGGTGGCCGGGGCGCCAGAGTCCACAGGGATGCTCGCGCCCACCCCCGCAACGAGTCCTTCATTGCAGGCACACAGACGCGGAGACGGGCGGACGAGGCGGAGGGAAGGGCTGGGGAAGGTAGGAGGTACGGGCAGGAGGCGCGTCGACGGGTCGATGGACCGTCGGGCTCGCCCTCTCGAGACTCCTCCGCCCCCGAAGGCCGTCGCATGCCCCCCTCCCAAGCGTCAGGGCCCAGTGCCCCTTTCTCTCCTTCCTCCTCGGCCGTGCCTCCGAAACGGTCGGGCATTTTCCAGTACCTGCGGGAGGTTGCGGGGGTATCGTTGCCCTCTCTGGTCACGGAGGCTGGCAAGGCGGCGAACCGGGAGAGCGGGGTCCGAGGCCACGGGGCAGGGACGCGGATGGAGAAGGCGGGAGGGATCGGAGGGAAAAAAAGCGATGGGGAAGGAGGAGGAGGAGGGAGGCGGCTGGAAGGAGGGGAGGAGGTGCGGGACGGGTACTCCCGAGGCCTGCGGGCAGACCGGGCATCGGAGAGGAAGAAGCCCTACCAGTGCGACCGTTGTGAGGCCTCCTTTGGGATCGCCCCCGATCTGAGCGAGCATTTTCACCGGTTGCACGGGGTTACCAAGCACCCCAGCCAGATCGTGCCCACCGCGGTGATCTTCTAGAAGGGCGGTTCCCAAGCAGCCACCGGACCCGAGGCCAGGTCTTCCTCCCCACGGGCATCGCCATTTGGAAGTCCTGTCGTGGTCCAAGCTTCTGTATCGCGCGGAGTGAAATGCCTGGGAGAGAGAGGCATGAGAGTGGCGGGCAGGTCCAGTCTTGTGGCACGCCTGTTCGGTGTTGAGGACACGGGAAACCGCCTAGGCCACCGGGAGAGAGGGAGAACGTCTAGTCTGATGGGAAAGAGGGAATGTCATGAGTCTGATGGTAGAAGGGGAAACGTTTAGTCCGATAAACCACAGGGAAAACAACTTGCCCGACGGGAGGGACAGCCACGCGGACGACGAGGGAGGTCCGTCCCTGCCCCCACAAAAAAATATTTTTATTCGCTGCGGGGTGTGCGAGAACGACGCTCCCATTCAATGACTATCTATCGTACATTGCTTATTCTTTCTCGTGATGTTCACCCCCCTGCCTTATCATTTCCTGGAAAACTTCCTGATGTCCTTTTCGACCTCTTTTTGCAGGGCCCCCATGAAGCGTCCTATCAACCCCACGTGCTTCTCCGCCTCTTTGGCCAGCTTCCCCGAATGTTCCACGCCTGTGGCTTTCACTTTGTCCACGTGGTCCGCCGTGCGAAGTGCGAACCGTTGGAATGCTCGGTTGTTGGCAAGACCTTTGACGATGAGCTCGTTCGCTATGTAGTTGGCTATCCGGAGGAAAAATTGCGACATTGATAGACGTGAACCCGCTCAACTGTGTTGCTTTTCAGTAAAAATGGCAGTGATGACAGTGCAAGACGTAGCGAAGCACCTGAATTGGAATGTACGGTCACTGGCGTGGCCTCGGTGTCCTCGATCGCGGTGCAATCTCTGCGTGCCCAGCCTATCTTTGCGGCTCCCGTAGCGCCTAGCATCTATGAAAAAATGCGAAAGGCACGTGAGTATGACAGAGAGGGAGCATTTAACCAGAACAAAACGTTCTACCCCCCCCACACACGTCAAAATGTTTGTGACACGGGCGCCATCAGGACGGGAAGAGCCCCCTCCACCTAGCAGGATGCCCTCCTCGCCGACCCCGCTATTCGCTTTCTTTTTTTCCGCAGTCCACGTTGTACTTGTCTGTGTGATGTGAAAATTCGCGTGCTACAGTACCTCATCAGGTTGGTCGCTGTCCCAGCCTGGTCAGGTCCGTGGGAAGAAATCGACAGGGTGCTCACCGCACATCCCTTTACCATAAGGGAATAACCGCATTATTGAACCCTGCTTGTCTTGTTACATTTCTTGTTCACCTCGTTGCCTCTTTTTGGCCACACATCGCAGGCAAAAAACCTCGCAAGACTACGGACACCCTTCCTCTCCTCAGGGCGCCACCAAGGGCAAAAACAAGCCTCCTCATGGAAGCGTTTTGTCCCCGTTCAGTCATGTTTTGACCGCGCACGTAGCAAGTGGAGGAACGTCTGGGGAGGGCCATTCCTCTCGAGAAGGAGTGTCGCCCGTCCATTCTGCCGAGCACGTACTGTCACAAGCTAGACCATGATACAGGAACCTGATGCCACGCCCAGCAATGACAACTCTGCTGACCTTTTGCTTCGCTTCCTCCCCGCTGGCAAAGCCTCGGCGGAGAGCGACCTCCCTCACCTGCCCTACGCCCCAAGCGGTGCTTCCCCGCCCCGTTTCCATCCTTCCTCCCACTCGTTCCCGACGACGAAACCCCGCAAAACATTGCATTGGGCCATGGCCGGCCTCATCCTCTTCTCTTTCACTGCCCCGGGCGCCCTGGTCAGCGTGCCTTTCGCCGTCGGGACCACGGGCTACGTCTTGAGCCTCCTCATCTTGAGCCTTTTCACCGCCGCCACCATCGCGGGCTGTCTGATGCTCTTGGAGATATACCAATGCAACCCCTACTGCCAAAATCTGCCGGAGTTGGGCGCCGTGGCCATGGGAAGCGTGCGGGGCCGACGGCTCGCGGCGACGGTGCAACTCAGCAACTTCGTCGGCTTCCTGCCCGTCTCGCTCACCATCAACGCCCTGGCCTTGCAAGGGACTCTGGGCGTGGCGCCTGAGCATTCCTGCCTGGATTACTATATCCTCGGCATCAGCGTGCTCTGCCTCTTGAGCACTCAGGCCCGGGCGCTCTCCAACACGCAAGCCCTCTCCCTCCTCTCCCTCACCGCCATCCTGGCCGCGGGGGCCATCCAGCTCGGCGTCGCCTTCTCCCCCTCCCTTATGCCACCCCTACCGTCCTCCCCGTCCTCCTCCGCCCGCATGTTCGGCCATCCTCTCCTCCCCCACGCCTCCCCCGCCACGGAGGTCGTGCGCACCCTCCTGGGCGTCACCTGCATGGCTTGGTCCTTCGTGCCCTGCTTCCTGGTCGTCGAACTCGCCTCCGCCATGCCCGCGCCCCACCACTTCCCTCGCGCCCTTTTTCTGGCGGCGGGCCTTCTCTTCCTTCTCTTCTTGGGCGTGGGCTTTCCGTTGGTGCATCGGTGGGGGTGGGACCTTCCCGACCCCTCCTACGCCCTCCCGGCGTGGCCGGCCGCCGCCTCCGTTTCACGCGTCATGCATGCCCTTGTCCTCCTCGCCAACCTGGTCTCTTACACCCTCGACTCCGTGCCTCTCGTCCGCTACTGCCAACGGGTCTGGCGCCCGCGCTTCAACCTCCAAGATTGGTCCCCCCGGGCGCTTGGCCTCTACCTCCTCCTCAGCCTGCCCTCCTTCCTCTTCGGTGTCCTGGCTGCCCTGGTCGTCGGGAACCTCCTGGCCCTTCTCGCCTTTGTCAGCGCCTTGTCCGTGCCACCTGTGTCTATAT